AGCAATAGTTTTACATGATCCAGTAGGATGCTACTGGATCTCTTGTGAACAAAGTCCTGGCTGCTTAGTTGGCAAAACCAGGAACAAAGTCTAGATTAAAACTGTCTTTTTTTAAAAGACATCTCTCACAATCCCTCAACCAGCATTCACCATACCTGCCTGTTGAAGTTGTCCAGGTGTTTGTGGATTTCATGGCTTCCCTGTGAATTCTGACCTGGTAGTTGTTGACATGGTCCAGAATTTCAGTGTTTTCAAATAGCATTCTATACTCAGATTGGTTTATGATGTATTCTGCTAGTGCCAATTTTTCTGGTTTTGTGACAGGTATCCACAAACAGCTAGACTACTTCAACAGGAAAGAAGAATGCTGAAAGTGAACAAACGTTGGCTACCAGTCCTGAAAAACACCAAAATCAAGACTCAATACATGCAAATGAACACCATCCAGGATCAAGGGGTTTCCCCACAGACAATGGATTGCTAATTAAATAGACACATATATCCTTCCACATATCCTCCCACCCTGAGGCCTTGCCATTCAACAATTGACCAACATAGAGATTACTATGTAAATCACTTCCTCCCAACCAAGGGTCACACAAGTATATATACACCACACAATTCCATGCCACCACCCTCTGAAGATGCCAGCCACAGTTGCAGGTGAAACGTCAGGAATACATTCTTCCAGAATGTAGCCACATAGCCCAGAAAACCCACAGAAAACCTGGTTGTACTCATCAGCAAGAGCCATAACAAATCACAGAACATTTTTATGGACCATATACATCTTAGGAAGTACCAGCTTCTTTTTTTCAGGTAGTCTCAAAGATGCTACAAGATCCCTTTGTATACTGAGCATCTTTAGAGTATTTTGCTTGGAGTGCTCAAATCTTCCCCTACTTATTAGGAGTTTGCAATGATCTATCTACTTAACCTGACTAAGGCAATTTCTTTTGTAGTGAATTAGGGAGAAATGCAACGAGTATATTGTGCATTTTGGTTGACCAATAAAGGTATCACTGATGGATTTTTGTTTGAATTTGCTAAATGGCCAACACAGCTACTCTTGAATGTTTTCTGTAGGGAGAAAAGAGTTGATAATAATTATGTATACAGGTTGGAAATTATCTGTCATTTTCACTTGTCTACAATCCTTGTGCATTTGTATAGGACAGCAATTCAAAACGCTAAGATTCACAGTTGCATTTAAAGCCCTATTTCAAGAATGGGCTGCACTTTGTCAGTTTGACTTATAAAGAAATATGTTAGCACATCAGTTTTATGCTAGGGAGAGAAGGAGCAGTAGGAGCATCCATAGTTTACAATGAAACTGAAATAAGAATTTATTATATTGATATGGTTTATGGGTTTTCTTTTGTTTTCTTTTAACCTGGCAGATCTTTCTTCTTCTGTTGTAGGCTACCTATATCTTAGCTTAGATCAAAGTAAATTTACTAAAAAATACTGGGTGGGTTTGAATGCTTAGTCTTTTACATTTTAGGCCAATGGGTTAAACATTTGCCTACCCCAATCTCCCCAAATTTTTGCAATTAGTTATATTTATATCTGTTTTTATAATGTAAAAGAATAAAGAAAAGATAGTCAGCATTTTAAAGAAATACAAGTTAAAGGTGTCCTATCACTTAAAATGATATATCATGTTAGAAAGGAAACTTAAAAGCTGGCATATTCAATCTAAAATTAAATACAGATTTTGAATTTCAGGCTGTGAAGCTAAAAAGATCAAAGGAAACTCTTTACAGTTCTTTCGAATTTGGTATTATACTTCCCAGGAGGTCATTTACTCCCATAATTTAGTCTGACTTATTTTTACTTCAGTTCCATTAAAAGTATGTAGGAAAGAGAGAGCCTGCCTTTACTTAAATTTTTAACTTCAACCTGTCAGTAAAAGAGAGAGAAGTGTCTGGAAGAGGATGATCTACAGAACTGCTAATAGCTTTCAAATCTTTTGACTTTTTGAGCCTGATATGGGAAAAAAAATTCTGGAACGATTGTATTTTAACCCTTTTGACTGTTCTTGCCCATAATGGGCCCATTTATTGAAATGGAACTTTTCTATTGCCCTTGAATATATGCTATGGATCCTGTTGGTTCCATTGTAACAACTCCCTTGCCTATCATAATTTTGCTTAGGTAGACACAATTATGGGAGGGGGGGAGTCTGCTATGTTTCTCTTAAAGTAATTAGTGGCAAATACTGAAAGGATTGATGATTCAAGACAGGTAACTATCCAAAAGTTCACACAGTAATTGGAACAATCCAACTCTCATGAGATGAGAAAAGCAAATGATATTTGTCAATGAAGCTACTTTCTCTGCTTGGGCTCCAGATAACATTTTACTGTGTTGTGTTTTGATATCAGGCATTTGATCAAAGTATAAAACACATTATCTGACCACTGGCCATATTGGCTGGCGAATCCTGGGAGATGTAGACTGAAACCCTAACTTTGCCAAGGTCTGCTCCATGTGCCAAGTTTTTTGCATGATTGTTTCTTAATAAGTTTCAGCCCAAAGATGTCAACATAACGTGGTTGCAAATAAAAATGTAGATCTTTTTGTATACGGTTCTATGCTTGACAAGAAATGTTGTGTTTTGCTTTTCTACAGATAAATGTATCTCACTGGGCCTGACTAATTCCATTCAGAGAAAATATTGTTGTCTACAAAAATATAAAATAAAAGTTACCGTAGATTCCAGCATGGCACTCTTCCAGAAGGAGAGGTTTTGCTACTACACATAGTTACTCTCTCTCTGTCATTGGTTGTTGCTGACCTATTTCTATTTTTTAAAAATGTAATATACTGTGCAACTTCTATAGACAGCATTTTAACAATAGGCAAGAGAATCATCCTAAATGAATAATGTCTCTTAAAACACTATTTGCAGTCATTTGAAGGATCGATACAACAAATGCTTTTTGCAAATGCAGTACAAATAGTAGTAGCAAAGAGCTGCCTCCTTTTCTTTCTTTTAAGTATGGATTTTTGTGTGGAAGGGATAAGAACATTCAGCAATGGCCAACATCCAGTGTGCTATGCACTTAGTATTAAATTATGTATAAACTCTCTTTATAGGAGCATTGCTAGTTGTGCAGCTTTCATAGATATGTAAACCATTGCAACATATAATCTCAGACCTAATCTGCACTACAGAATTAATGCAGTTTGACACTGCTTTGACTGCCATGGCTCAAAGCTATGGGATACTGGGGTTTGTAGTTTTGTGAGATATTTAGCCTTCTCTGTCAGAGAGCTCTGGTACCACAACATACTACAGATCCCAGGATTTCATAGCATTGAGCCATGGTGGTTAAAGTGATGTCAAACTGCATAATTTCTGCTGTGCAGATGCAGCCTCATGCGAATTTAAGAAGAGCTCTTGTGGATCAGACCATAGCCCTGTCTAGTCTAGTGTTCTCTTTCCACATTGGTCAGCCAGATGCCTATGGGAAGCCCACAAGCAGGACATGAGTGCCATAGCACCCTTCTGGCCTGTGTGCCCCCACAACTGATATATGGAGGCTTTGTGCCCCATAGTGAATGTAATATACAGCCATCTAGTAGCCACTGATAGCTGTACCTGCCATGAATTTATCTAAACCACTTTTAGAAGTCATTAGCTCTCCACATATCCTATGGCAGTGAATTGTAAGTTTTTTTGTTGAGTGTCTAATGTAGGGAGATTATTGCTTGGCTTTTTAAACTGGTTTACCCCTATCTGGTTTAATCTGGTGGCATCCTGATATTATCAGGTTATTTGCCACTGAATTTGCAGCCTGAATACAGTCAGGGTGCATCCTTGCTTCCAGGAGCACTCTTCACAGCTATTTTCCGATCTGGGAGTTTTCCGGATTAAGGAGTGGCTCTGGAAGAGGGGATGGACCCAGGCTGTATTCAGGTGGCATATTCGGTGGCAAAAAATGTTTGATAAGATCAGGATGCCACCCAAATTAAGATTAAACTGAACAGAGGTAAACCAGTTTAAAAAGCCAAGCAATAATCTCCTAGGACTCTTTTGTTTGTGTCTTGAATCTTCCATTATTATGATTCAGTGAATGATCCCAAGGTCCAGAAAAGGAGGAAAAGGTTCTCTCTATAATTTTTCTTCAAACTATGCATAATTTTATACATTTCTATTAACTCCCTCCTTTACTCACCTCACTGTTAAACATTAACAAGACCCAGGCTTTACAACCTTTCGCCATAAGAAAGGTATGGCTTCAGTATGTTGACAGTTTGGCTTCTGTTTTCAAAGACATTTATGTGGCCCAGAATTCAATTGTGGTTGGACTCAGATTGGCTTCATATTTAAACAGGAATTTCACAGACAGTTCTGTGGAAACACAGATGTCAAGTATATGATATAGTCAGAAAAGTGCAAGTGGGATCCATAATGGATAAATTTAGCTAGAGACTGAAGAATATGTTAAAAGTTTGGGTCAGTAAAAAATATTTATTTAAAATGACTCCATAGGTTTGTTTTTTTCTGTCATTCCTGCTACTGTTTGCTTCAACTATGAAATTCTTTGTCTGCATAATATACTCAAAACTTCACTTGATCCTAGGGAAAAGGTAGAGAAGCCTTCTTCACCTTGCTAAGCTGCACCCACAACCATTGCCCCCATATGAATATGTGATGATCACTTTACCTCAAGCTGATGACAAGGAATCGAACAATTTAGCTGTTCAGTTCAGAAGAAATCCCCATCAAGGTATTAACTAAAAATAAATTCTCCTTATATGAAGAAGTCAGAACGAATCCCACTTTATCCAACATTATATACTCAAAAGGGAAAGGAAGGAAGGAGGAATGGAGGGACAGACAAAGGATATAGGTTGTATTGATGATAAAATGCACTGCTCTCACATTGGCTGATTTTGTGGCACCACTGTAATTATCCCTATATTTTAATGCTGAGTTATAGCAGAAACTCTATAGTACTATGTAAGTACAGTAGAACTTCTATAAAAGAGCCAGTGTGGCATAATGGTTTGAGTGTTGGACTAGGACTCTGGAGACCAGTGTTCGAATCTCTACTCAGTCATGGAAACCCATTGGGTGACCTTGGGCAAATCACACTCTCTCAGGCTCTGAGGAAGGCAATAGGAAAAAAATCTCTCTGAACAAATCATGACAGGAAAACCCCATGATACATTCACCATAGGGCTGGCATAAGGTGGAAACAACTTGAAAGACACAGGACAACAACAGTATATCTATAGCTGCAAACATCTTCCAATAAAGAAGGAGAGAGAGTGGAGGGGAGGAGAGATGTTACAATGGTCTAATATCAGCGGAGACGGTTAATTTTTTAAAATGTGCAGAAAGTTTCCCTCTAACAAGAAGTAACCAAGTTTAGCTTACAGTGTTTTTTTAAATATCATCATTGGAACAACTCCCCCCCATATTTGGTAAAAGACTGAAAGAGAGAGAGAGAGCACCAGTAAAAAAAGAGAGCTCTTACTTTACCTCCATTCCTCTTTAAAAAGAGGAGAACATTACCCATGTTACCAATAAGACATCCAATGGATGATGGTGCGCTGATAGGCTTATGTAGCCTGAGCTAGCAGGCTTTTGTGTGGTTCTTGTTCTTCTCTGTGTTAAACCTGTTATTATAACTGAGATGGCAGCAGTGCCCACAAGATCCTGGCTCTAAAGAATATCTTTGCTTCTGAATAACTGTAGCCATCTATTTCCCTCCTTTAGCGTCTGGCCATTGGAAGCTGCTTTGACAACTGCTCTCTCTGTGTGTCTTTCTCTCCCACTCTCCTTCCTTAAAATGCTCCCTCTGCATTCTCACATGTATTCAGTTGTGTACAGAATTCAGAAGAATGGAATGGATATTCTTGCCTTCAGCAAAACAATTCACGTTGGTTCGGCATAAGCCAATGATTGTTTTCAAAGAGTTTTGTCATCTGCCATTAGAATGACACTGACTTTCTGATTCCATAAGTGGAGGTGTCTTTGTTCATAGTGGAATGTACCTCCATGCCACTGGGCATAGGATCTCATCCCAAGAAATGTTTGGTACTCTAAAATACAAGTACAATACACTCTTGTGTAGCATTAGTTGAAACAATCGCATCTGTGTATCCCACTTGTTATTTTGAGATTAGAGCTGAGCTGATTTTTGTATGATTCAGGTTTTATGTCCAAATGGATGTTTGATGAGAAAGAGGCTTGTCCTATAGATCATCCAGGTCATTGACAAAACAAAACAAAACAAAACCTTAAAAGGATGGTTTTTTAAAAAAAAAGTTTCAAAGGAACTTCACAGTATTCTTAGTTTATCTAACTTTCATGAACACACACACACACACACAGAGCATAATGTGAATTATGAGTATTTTCATAATAGACTATAGAGCCCCCAGGCAAATAGCCCATATGCAAAGAAGACACATGCTGCAGAGGACAACTTCAAGTAGTGCTGTGGCTAATGCAACTGGATTCAAGCCAAAAGGACATTCAGTTTTTGGTGAGCTCAAAGATGAAAGAAAAGTCTAAAGCTGCACAACACATATTATAAGAACTTTAAATGTGAGAAGCTTGAATCAGGGGAAGCTAGTTATAGTAAAGTAAGAAGAAATGGTGTGCCATTAATAGTGAGAAGAGATGTAGCAAAGATGTCAAAGGATATAATGCAAAGAATGATTTTGAGCGTATCAATAACAGTTTGGAGGAGGGAGATGCCAATAAAACCATAATCCAAGTTTATGCTCCAACTACAGAGGCAGAAGAAGAAGAAATTGAAAGATTCTATTCTGGAGTCCAGAAGGAAATGGATCACACACCAAAGAAGGCCTGCTATTAATCATAGGCAATTGGAAAGCAAAAGCAGGAGACAGAGCAGAATCAAAGACTTTAAGAAAATCAAAATAAAAAGGCTTAGGATCCAGAAATTAAGCAGGAGAGTGACTAAGGGTAAATTTAGCCCACTTTAACTGTCCTGGTTCAGTGCTAGGGAATCACGGGAATTGTATTTTTTTCAGAGACATTGAGACTTCTCTGTCAGAGAGCTTTGGTCCCACAATAAACTACAGTTCCCATGATTCCCTAGCACTGAGTTAAAGTTTCTGGTGGTCTGCAAAGGCCCTAAATTGTGTGAGGTCAACAGTTTGTTCATCTGCAAACACAATGAACTCAAGAGATGATAGTGAACGTAGATATCACTTGATGGCCAATGTAAAAATCAAATAGATGACATGACTGGAAGCAGAAAATAAAGAAGCTCAGTTCTCTCTGTAAAAACAGGACCAGGAGCAAATTATCTTACGTACCATGAATTGCTAATATCAAAAATTAGAGTAAATCTTATGAAGAACACTAAAACCATAAGTCAAAGGCAGCTTGAAGGCAGCTATATCACATCCTCCCCCCCCCACACACACACACACCTTCTGGAATCAACTTGTACATCTGATTTTTATGGAAATACCACCAGTGACTGAAGTGGTAAAAAAAATTATCCCAGAAACAAAGGTATTGTTATAAATTATTCCTGTTATAGTCTAAAGTATTTGGGGGTTGCTGGATATTGAGTGGGCAAGAATGATTAGTTTCATAAAAAACCTTTTCCTGGTAAAGATGAAAATTATTAGGGGAAATATGCTAATTGAAGGGAATGTACTTTCCTCTTTATGTTTCATTTGATAATAAAAGGCAAATTTGCTTGTCTTTTAAATTACTCAAATTGAGGTTGATAGATTTTGTTAGATTTCTAGCTTGGATTTGTGCATCAATTCCAAGCTATAGGTTTATGATGCAAAGTTCACGGATTCTCTATCCTCTGGATGACTCCCAGTGTCTCGGAAGATACTGTGGCTTCTGGAAAGTCCCCATTCATTAAAACAACCTGCCTTGTGGACATGGCACTTTTGAAAACATTAAAGCTTTACAAGATGGGTGTGTTCAAGTTTAGCAAATGTTAAAGCAAGCAGAGAGGTGATCTGGATTTTCCTGGTTTGGTGTTGCTTTGTTGCTTTGTGGGTGACTTAGCAAAACCTCATGTAAATATCGCCCCAGGTCTATTTGTACAATGCAATTATGCATGCATTATGTGCTAAATGGTAACAAAAGGCATTTAATATTAATCACTTCTGAAGGTAACCATATTGTGATCATAGACTGCACCCGTATGGCTTCCCAGCTAGATTTCCACTTAACACGGGTGGAAGAGAAGCCCTGTTCTAAATTGAATTACATAAAAGGAAGTTACACACTGATTCTCAGCAGCGTGTTTTGTCAAAACACTTTGTCTCATCTGTGATTTCTAATGCTGTAGTCAAAAGCCTTGACTGCAAGTAATGGGTTCATAAAACCTATCTTTAAATTTTTACCTGACAGTGATGCTGTGCAAATATCTGTACTTCTAGTTCACCTTCTCCACTTGTTTACATCAGGATTTTAATAGAGTGGCTGTCACAGAACAACAGCTAAAGGCCACTGCTTGATAAGTTGCTGTAAAATAGGCTGTTCAAAATGAGAATTCTCTTCCTCAGTTCAGCTATCATAATAGGTAAGGGTGAAGTTTCTGGTTAGAAGAAAGACAGTTGCTTGGAGGACTGCAATGAAATCCACCAGGGCATCAGATATTTAGATGAAAGTAAGAAAGAACTACATTTCCCATATATCTTCAGGCTGGCAATGGAATGTACAGGGACAAAAGGATTTTTAGAACAGAAAAGTCCCATGGCTATTCTTTTTGTGCCTTAACCTATTTTATCATTTGTAAAATACTAGAAGGATACAATCAGTAACACACATAAAAACAAAAGGCGAAACCACATCCAATGTGAGCTCCTTGCAGGCCACTGCATACCACAAACAGAGCAGGTTCCTCACAAAATCTATTTTTAAACATTCTTAGTAGATTTTTTAAAGTTTGATTACAAAAAAGAAAAAAGAAAGCTGGAAGAAAAAAAGGGGTGTGAAGGTGGGCTAGGTGCATAAATTAATATAGGCTGGCCATATTTCCAAAAACACATTTCCTTGAAGTTGGCATCTATAAAATACATGTCCATGATAAAAAGTGAAATCTTTTGCCCACTGAACAATAGATAGAGAAGATTCTTTCCAGCTTTGGAGTACAAGGATTCTGGCAACAGTGAGAGCAAACAAAAGCTTACCTACAGACGCAATAGATAGTATGGCCTTTTAAAATACAGTATGGTTCATTTCTAAAAGTTAGGTAAAGAGACACTGAGTGGCCTTCTGAGTCAGTCTTAGGACCTTATCACACGCGGCCCACAAAGCAATAACAAAGTGAAATAA